AGTCAACTCACTTGTGACTGACAGACCCAGTCAACTCACTTGTGACTGACAGCCTCAGTCAACTCACTTGTGACTGACAGCCTCAGTCAACTCACTTGTGACTGACAGACTCAGTCAACTCACTTCTGACTGACACAACTCACTCCTGACTGACAGACTCAGTCAACTCACTTCTGACTGACACAACTCACTCCTGACTGACAGCCTCAGTCAACTCACTTGTGACTGACAGTGCCCTCCGTGTGTGATACAAGCAACTAGATCTGTAGATGGTCTGTTATTTTCTCTAAATGTACCAATGGTTCATCATCTTCATAATTACAAGTTTAAAATATTTAGAGTCTCACATATCTCCCGCGATAGCTCAGTTGGTAGAGCGGAGGACTGTAGGTGTCACAAAGCTATCCTTAGGTCACTGGTTCGAATCCGGTTCGCGGGAACTTTTTCTGTTTTTATTTTAACATTTTTTCTCTTTTGATCCAATAGCTGATCAAAACCTATGTTGTAATGTAGAAAACTAATTAGTTAAGATATTATTGGAATTATAGGATAAATAATTAGACCCGCAAGATAATCACTAAACCAACTAATGGTGATTATATGGAAGTTTTGTTGAGTCAGACCCTAGACCGTTAGAATGTTTGTCTTTGTTTGTCTGCTTCTATTTCTCAGTCCTACTGCTGATGTAGAAAAAAATGAAACGACTGAAATAAATACACATCCACGTATGAAGCTGGCCTTACTCTCATGGCGGTCATTGAGATCGATAGAAAATTTCTTGCTTGGGGCAAATGAAGTTGTTTCATGGACCTACCTACACTGGATCAAAGTTTTAATCGTGACATCATACAATCCTTACATACAGCATGACCCGCGATAGCTCAGTTGGTAGAGCGGAGGACTGTAGATGAATGAAGCTATCCTTAGGTCACTGGTTCGAATCCGGTTCGCGGGAACTTTTATCTTTTTCTTTTGTTAACGCATGTTAACATGTACTAAACCCTTCAACTAAAATTTACATAGAGATCATTTAATTAAATATAAATCACACTTAATCTTTCAAATATTAAATTTAATAAATATGCCCTAATAATTTTATTAAATATTTTATGCCAACTAATAATTATGTTACTTAAATGCTAAATATTTGTTTCAAAAACTTCGCCACACAATACCAATTTTGAAATATTGTATTTGATTGGCTACGTAATTAGGAATACATATTGTGTGTTGTAAGCGTGGAGAAATTGTTTTGTTTTGTGGTATTTTATTTTGCTTTCAAAACATAAACTAGGCTTACAGTTCATACCTTCGACACATAAACTAGACCTACAGTTCATGATCGGATTGATGTAAAACTTCCTGTCATTTCCTCCTATATGCTGTCTTCACACTAGATTTTCATTCAGGGATCTCTTGGGGACGGGGCAATACCACCCCCTTCTCCCCCAGAGCACCCCCACCTCCTATATTTACATCTGTTGTTTACAAAATATGCGGTGTCACCCGCTCCAACGGAAATTTAAGTGTTTTCCCCCTTCCCCTCACTCACACTTTTCAAAAGTTTAAAGTTTGGTTCCCACACCCCTCCCCCATCCACCCCGAGAAAAATAAAGGAACACAGCTTCAGACCATGAGCCATGCTAGCCTTGAATCCAAGACCTTTGGTATTGTGTTTTGTTAACAGTATTTGTCATCGCGTGCATACACACACCTACACACTCAATACACACCTGACACACACACCACTCACTCACACAATGTTGTTTCCCCCCCAATACACTCCGCCCCTAGTACACTCCCCCCAGTACACTCCGCCCCCCCAATACACTCCGCCCCTACAATACATTCCGCACTCCGCCCCCCCCCCCAGTACACACCGAACCCCCTCCAGTACACTCCGCCCCCCCAATACACTCCGCCCCCAGTACACTCCCCCAGTACACTCCGCCCCCCCCCCAATACACTCCGCCCCCACAATACACTCCACCCCCAGTACACTCCGTCCCCCCAGTACACTCCGCCCCCCCAATACACTCCGCCCCCAGTACACTCCCCCAGTACACTCCGCCCCCCCCCCCAATACACTCCGCCCCCCCAATACACTCCGCCCCCAGTACACTCCCCCAGTACACTCCGCCCCCCCCCCCAATACACTCCGCCCCCAATACACTGCGCCCCCCCCCCAGTACACACCGAACCCCCCTCCAGTACACACCGCCCCCCAGTACACTCCCCCAGGACACTCCACCCCCCCAATACACACCGCCCCCCAATACACTCAACCCCCCCAATACACACCGCCCCCCAATACACTCCGCCCCCCTCCAGTACACTCCGCCCCCCAGTACACTCCGCCCCCCAGTACACTCCGCCCCCCCAATACACTCCGCCCCCCAGTACACTCCGCCCCCCAGTACACTCCGCCCCCCCAATACACTCCGCCCCCCAGTACACTCCGCCCCCCAGTACACTCCGCCCCCCAATACACTACGCCCCCCCAGTACACTCCGCACACCCCCCCCCCCCCCCCAGTACAATCAGAAGAATAATTTTAAAACCTACAAACTCGCCCAATCTTCCCAACTAGAACAAATGAGCTATTTTCGTTTGTTTATTGATTTCTATGTCAACACTCGGCTATACTAAATACCGGATCTTCGGCTATTTTTAGAAACGACATCTCCGCACTTTTAGTCAATTATCTGTCTAATCAGATTTTGATTTGTCCATTCTTCTAGCGATTAGAAATGCCCATCGACGAAATGTACGTCATTTTTAAAGGCTGTTCAAGTAGAAATAAAATAAATCTATAATAACAAGCTTTTAAACGCTTTGAAAATAAGAAAATAAAACAAACTTTACTAATGAAAACTTTGATCGCTAATGAGATCACTTACATTTTTTAGCAACCAAAGCTTTTACTAATAACTTTTGTTTTATTTTCTTATTTTCAATGCATGTAAAAGCTTGTTATTATAAAGAGTTTTTTTTTTTAATTAATTAATTTTATTTTCCACTTTTCTTTTAGTCGTTCGTTCGAAAAACAGTTGACAATACAAATAAGACTACAAATAAGACTACAAATATGCGTTAAAATCCGTTCAGTAGCTTTTGATCTCTAAAACATAGTTAACTGCCTCACCTCGTTCATACTACACACGTGAAATCAATCGAGCGTGAAGTGATAGTTCACCACGACGGCCTTCTGACCAAGCGATTGCTAGCTCATATTTTTATCTTTTTATCTCTCCTTTTAATTTGAATATAGTAATTTTTAAATTAAACTGTCTCTCTAATTAAATTAAAGAATTCATATTCATGCATTGTCATCGCAGTGGAACGTATCTGGAAAAATTGAACGAAATCGCTGCATTAGAAGTGGGTCAAAATCGAATTACAAGATTTGCCATAAACAAAGGTTGCGAACTAAATAAAAACTTCTAAAAACAAGAACTTTGTGGCTCTAAGAATGTGTCCGTTATACGTCGGTTTAGTTGATTGTATGTGACACGTTATGGGTCCTTGTGTGACCTTATGTGACCTTGTAGGTGATGAGGACTTTTTTGTATGTTGCACCCTGTGAGTGATGTTTTGAACGATTACCGCTAACATGCGTGGTGACAAGCCTACACAGTATGTCCATTAATGAATTAAATTATCGTCCAATTATTTCCACGTCTGATGGCTCTGGATTCTGACATAATCGGCCGCCATTTTGGAAGATCAGACACAAATACTGGATGGTGGGTTCTCAATGGGGCCAGACACACGGACACACAGACACACGAACACACAGACTACTGCAGAGGCCCAACACCAGCTGTCTATCATAAAACGAGCGGCTGGGTGACGTAGTAAACTAGCGACTGCTTGATCTGGACGGACTTATTTTTGCAGTCACGTGGTACGTTGAGGTAGATAAAATATTGTGAGAGTTATCTCCCAGAGTTACTTCCCATCGTTCTTTGGTTGAGGAATTTGTGCAGGCAATCGTCTGGTCAAACAGCGAGCTCAATTTTGTCTTCCCGCTCTGTAAACAGACGTGTGTGAACAAGTAAACCACCCTACTGATGTGTTGCCATGGTTACAAAGTAGGTCTGACGTTAAACCTGCACCTGTGTGTGTGCATATGTGAGTGTGCGGGTTTATAATAGAGAGAAAGGGAGAGAAAGATTGTGTGAGTCGAATGTGAGGGATTGAAGAGAGATATTCCATTTTAAGTGTGTATGTGTGGGAGTCTGTATAATTGTGTATGTGTGCGTGTGTGTATGCGAGAGAGAGAGAGAGAGAGAGAGAGAGAGAGAGAGGGAGCGGATGTGATTGTTTGTATGGCAGTGTGTGTGATTGTGTACATGAGTGTGTGTGAGAGAAAGACAGGGAGTGTGTGTGAATAGGTTTGTGTGCGTGTGTGTGTAAACTTGTGTGTGAATGTATGTATGACAGTGTGTGTGCATGTGTGAGACAGTGCGTGTGTGGTGTGTGGTGTCAATGTGTGTGTGTCGTGTGTGTGGTGTGTGTGTCAATGCGTGTGTCAATGTGTGTGGTGTGTGTGGTGTGTGTGGTGTGTGGTGTGTGTGGTGTGTGGTGTGTGTGTCAATGTGTGTGGTGTGTGTGTCAATGTGTGTGGTGTGTGTGGTGTGTGTGTGGTGTGTGTGGTGTGTGTGGTGTGTGTGGTGTGATGTGTGTGTGTCAATGTGTGTGGTGTGATCAAATAGCCGTGTCAATATTGTATGAGATGGCTGAGTGAGCAGGTCAGGTCACTGGAACAAAATCAGGAAAACTTATCGACCCACGGGCTGTGGGGGTGGGGGGTACGTGGGGGTAGGGGAGGGATAACAGGGTAGGGGCTTAGAACTAAAATGATACAAAAGCTTAGCTGCTGTTGCAGTCTAGTCATCGATTTAAAAAAATCAAACAAAACGGCAAGTGATTGATTTTAGCTCGCTGCCACCGCACCGCCTGGCCGTCTACTGGCTGGCCGTCTATTGGCTGGCCGTCCACTCCCTGCCATCAACTCGCCGCTGGATGCGAGACAGCGAGGTCTGGGTGAGTGAGTTGTCTGCCCGTGAGTGAGTTGTCTGCCCGCTGGGTTCTCTTCTCTTCATTTAGGGGATTCAACTCTTGGACTTATTCTAGAATCAGAGGTATAGTATTGTGTGCTTGATACATAGATAGACTTAACTTCTTTCTTAAAAAAATCATATTTACTAGTATTTTATTTTTTATCTCCCCCAACATAAAAAATTGTACAATATTTACTTTTTATCGCATCGTGCGCGCGCGCGCGCACACACACACACACACACACATGAACATATACACACGCACACAGCGCGCACACACACACACACACACATGAACATATACACACGCACACATAAACAAACACACTCACTCACGACTTTCTTGGACAATTTTAAATTTCACAGGGTTTCAGAACCTGCTAGCTCTATCCCCCCCCCCCTCCCCCCGCCCTCATGCAAGCAGACAGCCCTCTCCCCTGCCCCCCCCCTCCCAATGGAAGCCTCCACAAGCTGAGGTGTGCGTGATTACAGGTGACGCTCTCAGATAAACTCACGCCACACCTGCTGTGTGATGTACTCACCAACAGGCGTCTGTAGCCCGTCAGGTGACCTCTGCCTGACTCACCATTAGTAGCTGAGGTCAACATTTTGTTCCGACAGACATTTTTATGACTCAACATTTTGTTGTGACAGACATTTTTATGACTCAACATTTTGTTTCGACAGACATTTTTATAACTCAACATTTTGTTATGACAGACATTTTTATAACTCAACATTTTCTTCTGACAGACATTTTTATGACTCAACATTTTGTTCCGACAGACATTTTTATTACTCAACATTTTGTTATGACAGACATTTTTATAACTCAACATTTTCTTCTGACAGACATTTATGTGACTCAACATTTTGTTGTCACACAACTTTCTTTGTCTGATCGAACTGAAGTCGTTAAAACTTATTATTTTTTAAAATGTCTATACGTTTATTGTTTTTAACTATAAGCTTTATCTAAACATTTGTCATTTGAATTTAAAAACAACCTAACTAAAACTAATCTTTTCTCACCAGTTTAGTTTGAAAAAAACTAGAAAAAGCATTAAATTATGCCCCTTGTTTTCAATATTACTCCCTTGAGTTATATCCCCTGTTTTATTTAAATTTCCATTATTTCCCCTAGGTGTAGGACTGGACCCTAACAGTAAGTACCACAAGCCGTCGCCGGTTTGCCCGTGTGAGCTGGGAGTTTTCGCTTGATGTCGGCAACACAAGCCCGTGTTAATATTTGATGTCCCGGGGGTCGGGACTTACTCGGCGGTACTGAGGGCCGGGGCTAGGGCAGGGCTGGCTGGGTCACTTGTTGGACTTCACGACCCCTGCAACTAACGATCTTTCGACCCCTGGGGCTAGCGACCCCTGGAACTAACCCCTGGATCTAGCGACCCCCGGAAAAAAACATCTCTGAATCCACTGACACTTGGATCTAGCGACCCCCGGAACAAAGGACCCCTGAACCCACCGACCCCAGCCACTGACCTCTGAACCACGATGGCAGATACCGGCGCCCAGAGAATTGTCGCCATCGCTATAGACGAGAGCGAACATTCCGACAACGCCTTTCAGTGTGAGTAGAGAATAAATTAACATATTCAGCTGCCAATGTCAAGGTCATGTGCTTGATTGTATGCCCCAACTCAGGTGGGTGTAAACAAACATTCCGTCACTTGGATCCGAACCCAGGTCTGATTGGTCAGCCGAGTTTTACTACAATAGGCCTACCCCAATCATTCTTGTGCATGTGCCTACTATATATATATATATATATATATATATATATATATATATATATATATATATATATATATATATATATATATATATATATATATATGTTACGGTCAAAGCCCGAAGTGCGGCCAAAGCGCGGATTGGCCGGCCAATCCGCGCATTGGCCGGCTCTCTTGGCCAAAGTCCGAAGAACTTAGCACTAAGATCGTATTTCGTACATTGGCCGGCCAATGCGCGCACTGGCCGGGACGTACTGGCCAAAGTCCGAAGCGCTTAAACTTAACAGCGTATTTTGTACATAGGCCGGACAATGCGCGCACTGGCCGGGATGTCCCGGCCAATGTTCTATTTAGACTAAATTGTGATCGCATTTTCATTATTCTGGGTGCGGTTTCATTGAGAGTAACGTATTGTTTAGCTCTTGTTTGTATAGCATTCTATATGCAAGGCGACATGGATCAAAAGGGCCGTCAGACCATGAGACAGACATAGCTGATGGCTGTCAAAAGAAAAAAATGTAAATCCATGTTAGTTTCCATATATGGACTCTCGATAAAAAAGTTACTGAGGAAGATCTTGAGAACATTGAACAAGAAATGGAGGTTGCCATAAATGCAACGACATCCTCAGCTAACACATCTACTGCCGTGGCGGAACGCCCAGACCAGTTGCGTGGCAATAATGTGGCCAACAGATTCTATATAGTTTGTGAAAAACATTGTAGTGCAGCTCATTCTTTTGGATCCTGTGGCAACGATGTCCATGCTATTTGTGGAATACCCAATGAAGCAGACAAAGGGTACGGAGGGAACATTACCTGCAGATTGTGTCACAACAAACAAGACATCATGGAACACAGATCAGCAGCTCATACTGGCTTGCAAACTCAAGGTGCTAAGATGCTTAAAACATCAAATACAAAATTTAAAGATGGTGAAGTGGGTGACAATGTACGCATCCGTTTTCCAGATGTTGACAGAGGTCACGGTGATCCCCGAAGCGTGATTGCAGTTGTCATGAGCGTCGAGGGCGGTTTCTACAAATTAGGAACGGAACATGGTGTTCTAAAACAACTGTATGCTAGAAGTGTTTTCAATTCTTCACGAAAAACTGCTCTTATTGTCGTCAGTTGGCACTGAGGAAAAATCACTACGAACCATCGCATCTTCACAAACATTGACTGGGGGCCAAGGCTACACTCGCTGCAATGGCACAACTAAGTGCACAATAAATCGCTGCAAGTGTAAAAATAACAAGCTGCTATGTAATTCTAAATGCCATAAAAGTTCAACTTGTTGTAACAAATGATGACATTGATAGATTGAGACTATATTACAATAAAAAATTTGAATGTTTCTGTCATTTACTTTAATTAATAATAAATAAAGACTTAATTTCATGATCCTTACGGCATTAGAAAAAACCAAAATCTGCTCATGATCTTCTAATCCGGACTTTGGCCGGTCGTCCCTAGCCAGATGATCTTCTAATTAAGACTTTGGCCGGTCCACCATGGCCAGTCCGCGGACTGGCCGGCCAAAGGCCGAAATGAAGAGCTATTTCAGACTTTGGCCGGTCCACAATGGCCAGTCTGCTGATTGGCCGGCCAAAGGCCGAAATCAAGCAAAGTTTCGGACTTTGACCGACCTATGGGAGGCGATATTGGCCAATGCGCGGATTGGCCGGCCAATCCTAGGATTGGCCGACTTCGGGCTTTGACCGTAACATATATACCGCTACTCAGTCAATACACAGATTATAAATATTTATTCCATTCAACAAATCTCCCCATTAGTGTTTTTAAATTTGTCTTTCCTTGTATCCATAGCAACCCGAAGCATGTACCCCTACATACAACTTCCCGAATCATAAATCTCACATCTCCCCCCCCCCCTACTATCGATCACGTGACGGTCAGCTGACATTAACGACCCCTGCAGCTTCGACGCTCACGTTTAATATGCAAATGTTTGTCTCGAACGTGGGGCTATTTATAGAACTACCCTAATTTACTGCTGTATGTTGTGATAGACTGCTGTATGTTGTGACAGACTGCTGTATGTTGTGACAGACTGCAGTATGTTGTGACAGACAGCTGTATGTTGTGACAGACTGCTGTATGTTGTGACAGACTTCTGTATGTTGTGACAGACTGGTGTATGTTGTGACAGACTGCTGTATGTTGTGACAGACTGCTGTATGTTGTGACAGACTGCTGTATGTTGTGACAGACTGCTGTATGTTGTGACAGACTGCTGTATGTTGTGACAGACTGGTGTATGTTGTGACAGACTGCTGTATGTTGTGACAGACTGCTGTATGTTGTGACAGACTGCTGTATGTTGTGACAGACTGCTGTATGTTGTGACAGACTGCTGTATGTTGTGACAGACAACTGTGTGTTGTGACAGACTGCTGTGACAGACTGCTGTATGTTGTGACAGACTGCTGTGACAGACTGCTGTATGTTGTGACAGACTGCTGTATGTTGTGACAGACTGCTGTATGTTGTGACAGACTGCTGTATGTTGTGATAGACTGCTGTATGTTGTGACAGACTGCTGTATGTTGTGACAGACTGCTGTGACAGACTGCTGTATGTTGTGACAGACTGCTGTATGTTGTGACAGACTGCTGTATGTTGTGACAGACTGCTGTATGTTGTGATAGACTGCTGTATGTTGTGACAGACTGCTGTGACAGACTGCTGTATGTTGTGACAGACTTCTGTATGTTGTGACAGACTGCTGTATGTTGTGACAGACTGCTGTATGTTGTGACAGACTGCTGTATGTTGTGACAGACTGCTGTATGTTGTGACAGACTGCTGTAAGTTGTGACAGACTGCTGTGACAGACTGCTGTATGTTGTGACAGACTGCTGTATGTTGTGACAGACTGCTGTATGTTGTGATAGACTGCTGTATGTTGTGACAGACTGCTGTATGTTGTGATAGACTGCTGTATGTTGTGACAGACTGCTGTATGTTGTGACAGACTGCTGTATGTTGTGATAGACTGCTGTATGTTGTGACAGACTGCTGTATGTTGTGACAGACTGCTGTATGTTGTGATAGACTCTCAGAGACATTGGTTGTGTGGGGCACCGCACACATAGTAGAGAGGTGGTGGTGTTTCCTGGTGGTGTTTTTACATTTTGACTGGGATATTTTGATCATTATTTACTTTACGTGTAAATGTCGGAGGGTGTGTGTGTGTGGGGGGGGGGGAGGGGGGGAGGGGGGTTGTAAATGTTGCTGACGTCTGTTGAAGCAGACCTCAAAAAGCCGTCTGCTCAGTTTCCGTAGGCACCGCTTTTCCCGCTATTGACAAATAAACTTTGACAAGTTTTTCACGAACATTCTGGTGTGTATAGAGTTCCACACGCCGGCCTAGTACAATGGAACCGTTATCTGTTTTGACAACATAACGGTCACGTGGTCACTGGTTGGGAGAACAGACAGACGGACAGACGGACAGACGGACAGACAGACGGAGGGCCTTTAACCTTTTATTTTGACTCTCACAAAGCTCTGTGTGTGACTGTATGTGGGTATTTGCACGTACCAGCGGTTGTAAGGGAGGGCGGGACTGAAGGGCTGCTGGGTGACGGACCCCCTCTCTGGGTGGTGAACTTCCCCCCCCCCCCCCCCCTGGGTGGTGGATCCCCCACTACCATCCATACAAACACGCTCACCCCTTACGTCACTCAATCGTTTAGCGCTGGTCAGCCTGGGGCCACTCACGGCCTTTATCAGATAGAGCCGGCAGGATTCAATTATTCCGGCTCCCAATGTACAAGAGAAGGCAAGCTCTAGTGTTTGCTGCTAAAAAAATTAATACAAAATAATTTAAAGCATTTTTAAAATGTACCCCCCCCCCCAGCTAAACGTCCCTGCCTCGCCTTCTCACACTTTCCCCACACACTGTTCACCTGTCACCCGCACATCATACACCCACACATCACACCCACACATCATCCCCCCCCCCCACACACACAGACTTAAGAATGAGTGCTCCCTTCCCACCAATAAAGTTGGACCTGACACATGAAAACGATGAAGGGAATTTTTAAAATTTAAAACAAAAACTTTTTAAAGTATCACACAAGTGAATCACTCACGACCAGAATGTGAGTAGTTGGAGTAGAGTTGGGGTGTGACCGACAAATCGTATCTTTAAGGTTTAAGGGTAGGTTTACACGTTAGTCAGGGTAGGTTCAAGCCGTTAGGGTAGGTTCAAACCGTCAGGGTAGGTTCAATCCGTCAGGGTAGGTTCAAGCCGTCAGGGTAGGTTCAAACCGTCAGGGTAGGTTCAATCCGTCAGGGTAGGTTCAATCCGTCAGGGTAGGTTCAAGCCGTTAGGGTAGGTTCAAGCCGTGTAAACCCACAAGGTCTTATATCGCCCGGCCGGTCTGTAAAAACTACGCAGCTACCGAACATTCTATAATAACCAATACAGCTTTATCAACGCGGTGTGCGGCAAAAATCACAGAAAAAAGTCACATTCTATTAAATTTTTAAGAATTTGTATTAAGGGGTCATCCATAAATGACTTGACGCTTTTTTGACGCTTTTTACCTCTCCCCTCCCCTCCGTCACACGTCGTCACAAAAAGCCAGACCCCCACCCCCCTAAAATAACGTCACACCTCAACCTGCAACCCCCCCCCCCCCCCTGAAAAAAAATTGCAGTTGAATTTTCTTAAAACATCGATATTTTTCCAAAATCTTGTCAGAACTCTGTCAACATAGAGTATTTTGATCAATCCCTACTATAAAAAAACGCGAAATAACGGCTAAAGCTCGTTTTCTAACATTGCTTTTTTATAATGCAAA